TTACTCTTACCACAAATCTCTTGTTTCATTACCAACTGAATGACAAGCTAATTTTTAGAAAAAATCGACCTAAAAGATCCACTCTTCTCACAAATCAATAGAATCAATAATTAAAGTCTAGCTAGCTATTAAGCTAAGGTTTCAATGTAGACTTTTTAACAATTTGGAGTAGCATCTGTCCTTAACAGTAAAATAACACTATATCTGACAGAAGAATTAATAATTATCAGATTTAAGAAGGAATCAAATTAAATTTACAAAATCAATCTATTCCGCTCATTGGCCAGATTCACTGATGGTGAAAATCTTGTTATAAGACTTAGGGATAGAAATGGTAGCAGTAATAATCAAAAGATCGATTTAGAAATAAAAATGAAATTAGGCATAGATTCCTAAATTGTGCTTAATCACGTGAATAATTATGCTTTCATAGAATTTCCAAGTTTCTCTCAAATTTATTAAATCCAAGAATATTTAGATGAGGGATCACAAGGATAAATATTTAAATGCCAAATCAAAAGTACATTCAATCATCCCATTTCCCAAGTAGTGGAAACTAAACCATAAGTAGTAAAAATATGTCAAATATAAAATAAGCAAGCCAATGATCAGGCAAGAAACGAAATATTATTAATGAGAAAATTACGTCATTGCCAAAATGTATGCACACTTAATCAAGTATTCATTGAGAAGGATAAGATCTATTTAGTAATGGATTTTATTGAGTAAGGTGATTTGCAAAGCTTTATAGAATCTAGAAAATTTAAAATAAGTGAAATTGAGTGCAAGGAAATAGCTATCTAATTGCTGTTAACTTGCAATTTTATGCATCAAAGAAATATATTGCATAGAGATTTGAAACTAGAAAATATTCTTATAAAATATGAGAACTCACAGATATAAACAAGAATATGTGACTTTGGATTAGCTTGCTAATTAGATGATTAGTAACTCAAAAACATGCGTGTTGGAACTGCAAGTTGTATTGCCCCAGAGATTCTTTTAAACAAAGATTATGATGAAAAATCAGATATATTCAGTGTGGGATGCTTGCTTTATAAGATCATATATGGCAAGAATCTGTTCAGCTCTGATAGTCTGATAGATTGTCTGAGATTAAATATGACTGCAGATCCAACTTCAATCATAAATAATTAGACTAAAATTATATCTAGAGATCTGAAAAATTTCCTTCTAAATTTACTGAATAGAAATCCAAATCTAAGACCGAATTCTTAGGAAGCACTTTAAGTAAGTTATAACATTTTAATATTTTTTAGCATCAATGGTTTTGGTGTGAAAGAACTGGAATAAACTAAGCACTATAAATCAATAAGTATTAAGATGAAGACTTAAGCATTAAATCTGAAAACTAATAATTAAATAATAATTCAAAGATAGATTACCTAAAAATCATTGAGGATTCAAAGAATTTTATTGGAGAAGATGAGGAATCTAAATAAGATACAAATATCAAAGGATTAAAAATGTTAGGAAAAAAACTTTCTGCTGCATGTACATTTAATAAAACGTAAAATTCAAAGGAAATTTGCTATGATAAACAGTTTAAATTAAATAACTTCTCAATGAAAATCGAAAGTGCTCATTAAAGACATAAAAAATCTAAGAAAAAGCTATAAACAAAGAATTTGAAGAACTAAACAAATGTTGCATTAAATGAAGTATAGGCAACAAATGAAAACTTCGAGGAAATCTGCCATGATGAAAAAGATAACTTAACATTAGAGTAAAAAATATTGGACAGGACATTAATATCAGAATCTGTATTAGTTAAATAATCACTTTCAAATATGAATTGTGTGAGAAATAGGAGATCATTTCTCTAATTAGAATAATGAGAATAAATTTTAAGACTTGATTTCAAATTTAGAAATATATGTCCCTGATTAGGCACATTTAATTGTTTATTGACAAATCTGATTTTACTCTTTAGTTAATTTTGATTTCATTATTATAACTACAATATTAAGCTCACTGAATAGCCAGCGGGGTTTTGGGGTTTTGGGGTTTTGGGGTTTTGGGG